TTCTATCTGATTCTTCTTTTAACATTACTGTGCTCATTCATTTAATGGATTTGATAATATGCTATATGATACAAAGCATATTCACCTTTATATTCTTCTATTTCAAAATTTATTATTTTCACTTATATTCTATATAAACTTAAAACATTTTGCCAACTTCCAAAAAAAATGCCTTGGAATTTTTAATTTTGGTAGTATGAAAATTGGCAATTTATTTAGGGAGAATTGATTTTTAGGAATATTGTATCTCTCTCAAGTTTTATATTTTTGTTTATATTATTTTGTAATTTTTTTCATCTAATAAGACACACACATACATGTGCATGATTTTTTCCTATATATTTTGTATTTTATGTCTGGCCAATTAACATTCTTATTAAAATCTAACAGTAATCAATTTCTTTAAAAAAATCCAAAAATTTTCAACAATTATGTAGGTTATTTCTATACCATTTCTCTTTAGGGATCCTATTGCAAAAACTACATTATAGTATTCATCACTTTTCTTTTTTGAGCTTTCACCTTTGTTTTAAAATCTAAAAAAAAAATTTGTTCATTTTGTTTTATTTTCAATAGGAACAAGGTCACAGATCCTCAGATGATTTAACTTTGCAAAGATAATATTAACTGGTAATATGAATAAATTGATTTTAGCCTCATTCTCGAGAAGGTTATAAATACTAATTGCCTTGTGATATCATATAGCATTCATATGCTTAAGTATTTGATAACTCTTATCACAAATGATTTTAATATGCAAGCCCCAGAGTCCTATATTAATTGTGATTATTTTTATAGACTAAAATATCTAATGTCATTATTTATGTTTTAGGTTAGTGGGATGGTTTGGCCATGAACTAAGCACCAGATTTAAGATGGATAACAGTAAGTGTATTCAATTTTACTTCACAAGTCTTTTTATTTTAACTTTAATACAATTTTCATCTGTCTTTGTATGATATGTATTATGCATGCCTCATGAAGACTGCACTTTGAAAATGCCACTGAGAGTTCTTAAAATAAGAAATGACATTTCCACGGTGTAAGACTAAGTATTCATAGATTTTAGCATGGTTTTGAGTCTATCCCTTTGTAGGGAAATAGGAGGAAGTGAAATCTAAAGTACAGAATTCAGATCACATCAATATAGAGTCCCCAAAACTTCAGGCAGTGAGGATAGGAAGAAATTGTTGGTTTGGAGTCAGACCCAGAGAGATTTAGATATCAGTCCCACTTTGCTGCTTAACAGTTTTCTGATGCTGCACAAATTTCAGATTTAGGTTTTGTTTTTTCCTTACACATACCTAGTGTGAATAATAGTATCTATTTCAGGGTATGGTTTGAGGGTAAGACAAGTTCAAAGCTGTAAACCAAGTAACATATTATTTAATAAATGTTCATTCTTAATCCCTCTCTTTTCCTAAAATCTCTCTCCTTTTGTGGTTTTTGCCGCATGCCAAACAGTGGCAGTGAAACCCCAGTGGGTAGAAATGGAAGTACACCATGTGCAAGGGGTTCCCAAACTGCTCTACTTCTTTTTCCTGAGTGACTTTATTCATCTATCACATGGGATATAGAAAGCTTCCTAAATATTTTGAGAGTTCAACTTAAACTTGATCCTTCAGACTACTTCCTGCCCTGAGAGATGATTTTAAATAAACTCACATTTCCAACAACCAAGATGCAAAGGATCAAGAAGGGCTGTTCCAATTAAATCAGGAAACCTGATTTTTTCTTGGCTGCTGAAATCATAAGTTCTGTTATTATGCCAGTTATTTTGTAATGGGTTTTCTTATCTGTAAATGAGGGAATTGGATTTGATCAGGGATGGGCGAAGTTTTTCTGTGAAGGATCTCTTGTGAAGGAGATATTTTAAGCTTTCTGGGCTATACTGTCTCTGTGGCAAAGACACAACTCTGCCATTATGATGCTAAAGCAACCAGAGACATATATAAATGAATGAATGAAGCTATGTTCCAATAAAGCTTTATTTACAAAAATAAGCAGTGGGCCAGATCTGGCCCACAAGATGTCATTTGACTAACCCTGGATTAGATAAATCTGTAAGACCCAGAAAATTCTCTCACTCTTTTAGTTAGTCACAGTTTTAATTTGATCCCTGGCAAATTTAACTCTGTTGAATTTAACTTGCAACTATTCAATCTAATTAATTTTAATTAGGGTAATATCTGCTATTTACCTTTTTAATATATCATATTTATGAAGATCATTTTTTAAAGCCTTTTTCTTCCTTCCCTAAGAGAAGCCACTTGACCTAGTAATCCTAGTGCTAAAAGTCACCTTCATAAGTCATTTCATTCATACGTCTGCCTTTGAGTGACATTACAATTACAAGCCATTCGAACCTTAATGTTTTCCTCTCATTGATATAGTTTCATAACAGAAGGGCAAAGCATAGCAGAACAAGGAATGCTGGGCTTGGGGATGGGGAGAGCAGAGGATGGGATCCAGAAAAGTTTCCAGATGAGTTTTGTGTCCAAAGGCTCCCATTTTTGGAAGGCTACTACGAAGGTAGGGGAAGAGGAGGTGGAAATTACAGGTGAAGGAGAAACTTGTCAGTATTCTACGTCCATGGAGTTTCTCTTAAATATCTTAGAAATCTTAGGAATAAAAGTTTTTAACTTTTTATATTTTTTCTCTCTGCTACTTACTGTCATAAAAAAAATCCATGAAGGATACTTTTTAAGGCACATTCTATTAAAATGGCATAACATTAATTTTTTCCAGAATTGCAATTAATCCCTGGGGTCAGTGGATTCCGAATTTCAAATCCTCCCATTCTGTTGGTCTGTTCCTTACATGCTAGTTTAGAGGTAAGTGATCTATGCTGCAACCTTCCCACAAGTTTACTTTTCTCTTTACCTGATTATGACACGTGGTAGTGTTTTATCTACTAGTCAGCTAGGTTAATATGCACAGTGCATAAACAGACAAAGGGCAGTGTTCTCCTTTAGGACAGTGACTGTGTGTTAACGTTACCTTTTCTTTATATCACTAGCTGTCAGCATAAGGCTTGGCACATTTTGGCTCTTAATAAATGTTCAATGGGACTTAACCTGGGAAAACATAATTTTAGTTCCACTTAGAGTTTGTGTGAACTTGAAAAAGTTATTGAATCTTCCATTGGTCTCTGTATAAACAAAACAAGCAAGCAATATTTAATTCTTGATTAATTCACCCACTAACACTCACTTATTAAGAAAGTATTGTGTGTCAGGTGATGTAGTGATACTGGGGACTCTGTTTCTTCTAGTTCTGTGAGTCAATATACTGACAAAGTGCCACGTGACAAAACTGTAGGAAGACTTGCTTTGGGGGGGGTGGGGCAGGAAAGTTTGAATGGTCAGAATAAACCAAAGATTGAGTAAGGTTGTCCTATGAGGTAGGGTGGATTTTTTTTCCCCTACTGGGGTTTTATACAAGAATATCCATGTGTAATCTCTACTACTGTCAGCTCAATATTTTCCTTAAGTTCATTCATATTTTTACTTAAAATTAATCTCACCCTAAATAATAATATCTAAGGAATCAGCTTGGTTTTCTAGACATGTGTATGTCTATTATTTCTATATATTTAGGTACTTACCTATATCTGTATCTCTTCATTTATATACACATATGATGCATATGGATGTATATATATCCTAATTCTTTAGATATTCATTAATTTCAGAGTAAGACTAAATTTATCCAAGTAAATATATATGTTGTTAATAACTATATATTATTTAATAGTATTAATACATATGTTAAGGAAATACATATTTTATATACATACATTTAAGTATGTTTTAAGAAAATATACATGTTCTTAATAGAGATTTTAAATACATAGCTATTCAAATAAACATTTGATTTTTAAAAAAGTTTAAAGCCTCCAAAAATCAGCTAGTTTAGGAAATTCTGTTGTCACATATTCTAGCATGAGTGACTAGGTAAAGACTTCCAAAATCTCTTCTAAACCTAAAATTCTAGAATTCTGGGAACCTCGTAGCAGTTTATCATTTTGGCCACTGGATGGCAGTGTCAAGTTCCTTTGTTTTTATGAAGCTTCGCCACTAGATAGTAGTGAGCAACTCAATTCGTCTTAATTTAAAGAGCACCTACTCAGTGTGACCACTAGATGGAGCTTGTGCTATTTTCACTCTGGCAGGTTTTTTGTTTTTTGGGTTTTTTTTAATTTAAATAGACCCAGTAACAAGATTTCTCAGGCAGAGATACATATTTTAAAAATTTTTTTTTGGAGCTGGGGTTGGGTGGGACGATGAAATACGCATGGAAAATCAAATAATGGTATTTGAATTGTTTTTAAAACATCCAATCTGAGGAAAACTTCTGTTAGACATTTTAAAAGAAAATAATATTTTGCTTACTTTGCAAGTTTATATCAGGGAGAAGATGAGTTATAATATGAAAAAAAGGCACCAAGGCATACTGTAGAAAGAACTAGTACTTAAAGTTATGTCCTCAGATTTTCCTTATCTTCGTGATAGTATAGAATATATATATATATATTTCTCTGGAACTTCTTATCACTTAAGTATTTCTTTGCAGCCTCTTGGAAATACTTTGTTAAGTCACTCTCTGTTGTGGCTATGTTTAACCAAAGCTAGCTTTTAGTATCTTCAAGTCTTATGTTGAAGAAAGTGTTTTTGAAATTCTTGCTCCCCATAATAAATTGCAAAATTCTGAAATTACAACATAATACATTTGATTGTTTTCCATCCTCTACTTAACTGTTAAAATATTGTATTTTTTTGATATTTCTGAGTTTGCCATGTGAGTAAGTGTCAATGAATTAACTGATTCAGTAACAACCTTTATTTAAAAGTTAAGCATATAGGAGATAGGTAGTTAAAGTTTGAGTAAATGAAAGAAATAAATACATGAACCAAACTACCTCTCTTTGTTGTCTCTACTTCCCTTTCAAAAAATACTCTACATAGTCAAATGCCAACTAGAGAGATCCTACACTTAAGAATCAATGTACATGGATATGATTTCAGATTTGCAATACAAAGAATTTTTTTAAAAGATTAATTATTGCATTGTTTATAATTAATGTGTATTTGATTGACTGATACCATGAAAAATAGCACCTTATAATCAGTTTCAAACTGTTTCTTTATACTGTTGCCTATTTAAACATTTATACAACAAATTTAAAAATATTTTGGATCAAGAGAAAGAGCAGGCAGGTAGGAACCAGGAGGTAAATACTCTATCCCTCATTGGAACACTAAGTGTGACCTTACACAACTGACAACTATTCGAATTCATTTGCCTCAATTTTTGATGAAGATTTTGGATCAGATTACTTGAGAGGTCTCTTCAATCTTCCAATTACTAACTTGAAATTAAACAACACTTACATTGTATTTTGAAGGGTCAGATTTGTATGTAGGAATAAGGGTCATAATTGTATGTAGATGATTTTAGACCCTTTCAGTACATAAATATATAATTAAATAAATAGCTTCAAAATATAAAATTATGGCATTCAATTAAACTACAGGGCAAGTCAGAAGAAATGTTCTCTGTATTTCTTCAGAGTTTTTAGGGAGCCAATTTTAAGAACTTAAGAATTGAAAACATCATGCTATACTTATTTTTCCCTATTTAAATTTATCTAACTTTTCTAGCTTTGCATTTATTTTATTTAGTAAGAAAAGTAACCTATGCAGTGGAAACTGTGCCAAGAATTCTGTTATAAGTTGAATATTGTCAAACTACAATTTTAAGTTTTACTAATTAAAAAAAAATTCTTTCACAGTGTTGAAAGCATAGCAATAATGAGAACAGGGGAAAAAAGGAGGACATTTATTGTATTGTATCCCTGTTAACTCTGATTAGTCCCTCTTAATATTTTTATGTGAAGCCTCAGAAGAGACTTTTACACTCTGTGAGAAGTTAAAATGCTGCTTGCCTTGTTGCAGTTGTAATGTGGAAAACTTTTTTACAATTAAAAGTTACTGCTAACAAAGAGTAATGATATGCTAAAATTGAGGTATTTGTCATTAAAAAGAAATTGGTTTCTTGTTATCAAATCTGCAAAAGCAAAACTTCCTTTAAAAAAACAATAAACTTCAGTTATATTCCCCAAAGTCTTACTAACTTATGAATACAAATGAAATTTCTTTAAAAGTACTACTTTACACATTGTCTCCATTGGCATCTTAAGGGGCCCAAAGCAGATCCAGAAAGTTTACTAGAATTATTTAAATAATTAAAATAGCCTCAAATTATCATTAATCTCCAAGAAAAGCTTGGAAAGATTCCTATCATATTTTTTTAGAATTCCACACCTGACAGCCAAGCTGCTGGTGGGTCACACCTTACCTGTCCCTGCTCTTACCCTCTGTGAGAATGATGATTCTCAGACCAGGCTCCCTTGATCCGAAACTTGGAGATACTGCCTAAAGGCTTCTTTGTGCCAGATCTACTGACATTTTGTTTTACCCAAGGAAATAAAGAGATGCCTCCTACCAAACTTCTGTAACCGCGATTACCTGAGTCCTACAGCAGTATTGTTTGCACTGAAGATGTCAGCTGCCTTCTTAATCAAAGACCTCAGCTTCAATTTGCAGTTAATCTCTTCTCAGGCTGCAGACATATTGTGTGAGGTCCGGTTAGGGAGAGAGGCAGATATCTTTCTATCCTGATTCTCCTCTCTTCCTTTGAATCTGTTACCTTCAATACAACTCTCATCTCCTTTGGCTAAATCCACAGCCTCCATGCAATAGATTGAGAAAGATCTATGCCTGAATGATTTGAGTCTTATTACAATGCCTGCCCACACATGCCATGTGTACATACAGAAAAAACTATTTTCATAGGCTTTATATATAGATATCACCAAATGACCCTATTTTTGCTCTGTGGCATAGCATGATACAGAAAAGGGACATTAAGTGGCCTGCCAGTGCATCATGCTCTGTTTGCAGTTCATTCAGTTCTTATATGTAGGATATATTTTTAAACTCTACTTGACCTTAGGAGATAAGCTAGAAAAGCATGCCTGTTCTGACCCCTAATGTTGCAACACCCGTTATTGTGTGCCCTTGTCACTCATCTTAATATAAGACACCTCAGGCAGCAGCTGGCAGTATTTTCACACCAGTGTTAGAGCTTAGCAGAAAAAAAACATATGAAAGAAGAAAAAAAGAAAGAGAAAGACCGAATGGCTTCAGTACTAATAAATGTATTACCTAACATCATCTGCTTCTCTGTTTGACAAAACTTACCATTCTTATTTAACTGCTTGTTTTCCTACTGTCAAACGTGAGGAGACTTAGGAATTGGTAAAACAATGATAATATTGGTAACACCCTCCACATAAGTGTTTAGCTCTTACTGTACTTTTTGTGAACTAAAAAAACTACATCAGAATAGAAAAAACTTTTCTTGATTACAATTATATAAAATGGATTTGGGGAATATTTTTTTAAATTTAGGATACTTAAATGTGTTTATTAAAGTATGCTTTACTTTTACTAACTAAATAAAGCTAATTTAAAATAACTCTGAAGAACATTATGTTAACTTTTTTTTTCAGCTTTCACACGTATTGTTTAAATGGCATTTGTACAATTTTTCTCTCATGGAAGCTTTGCGTTCAGTTTTAATGGAAAAACATTTAGAAGAGGACATTTTTTTTTACAAAAAGATTATCTAAAACAGGATGTTTTATTGGGAAGGTCAAAAGTGGGCATTTCTTTTTTTTAATGCATGATTTACAGTTAATTTTTGCTTCTTTAGAAATCAAGACACTGTTAACCTGATTGTTTCTCATCCTGCAGATCTTTAGGCAGGCGACTATGAAAGCACTGAGGAGAAAGTCTATCTTGCTAACTGGTTATCTGGAATACATGATCAAGCATCACTACAGCCAGGATGAGGCAGAAACCAAGAAAACAGTTGTGAACATAATTACTCCATCCAGTATAGGGGATCGCGGCTGCCAGCTAACCCTAACATTTTCTGTTCCAATGAACTACGTTTACCAAGAACTAGAAAAAAGAGGAGTGGTTGTAAGTATATCTCTTGCCTTGCTACCAGGTTTTCTCTAAGGATTGCATGTTGAGGATAAAATTTGGATTGTTTCACTTATTCAATGTTCCATGTTATTTCACATCAGTCGGTTAGTGAAGATAAATTAAGTGCCAACTAAATATTCAGCACTGTGCTTACTGAAGGCACAGAGATCTGGTATTTCGGATAAAAGGGAAAATACCACAAATTTTGGTTACAGGAAACAAGCTTGATTAATTTATCCATTCTTTTCATTACAGTTTGAGCAGAAAAAAATTTAGTGAAAACCCCAATATGTATTTATTGAATAAATGGAATTAAAGAACGTTATCAATACAGTAGAAGGAAAAAAAGGAAATCAGTCTTACTTGGTTATTTGCTTGAACTAAGTTATTCTCAACCTTACCACTTTAGTCAGTAAAGATAACGTAGACACATTTTAGGAATGTTAACATCGTATGGAATTTTTTTTAACTGTTAGGCCTAAGTAGCCCTCTTAGTCTCTGGAAGAGGATTAAAACATGTTCAGTGAGTAATTTCAGGAAAAACGGTGATAATGTAACTATTTCCGGTGATGATGTAATTTAGGAACTGCTGCACTCATGCAGCCTTGCAAATCTTTGGGAGAGGTCACCCCAGATTCTGGAGGCTCAAATCAGAATATCAGCATTCCAAATTAAGCTCTACCATTTACAAGCCATGTGCTCCTGGGAAAGTTAGTTAACACCTGTTGGCTTGAGATCCCGCATCTGCTTTTAGGATGCAAAAATATACTCACCTCAAAAGTCGTTGTGGAATTAAATGTGCCAGCACACATAAACCATTTATTATCTTGTCTGTCCTACAGCGGGTGTTTCTTAAAGATAATCATAGTGATCTTGAGACTAAGCCAAATTATCTGAACCTAATTCAATGGAAATATAGTTGACTAAAACTCTCCCGATCTCAGTGAGGTCTCATTCATTGAAATGTGTCCAAGGATTCTAGTCTCTCTAGGGTCTCCCCACAGATACACTGCAGACTCAGTCTATTGGATGTTTAAAAAAGACGATTGCTTAGTGGACTTCAGGAAAGTACTTTGGATATTCATGTATCAACCCATTAATATTGTAATCATTATTAAGAGGAGAGTTTCAAATAACTTAGAAACACTATGTTTTACCTAAATTGAAAAAAAAACTACTTATATATTAAGTTTCAGGGAAATCAGTATGAATGTTTTATGTAAGTTTATCTTGAACATAGATTTCCATTATGTGAACAATGCTAACATTATCGTGGCTTTATTTCTTGTTTTCCCTACAGTGTGACAAGCGGGAACCAAATGGCATCCGAGTGGCTCCAGTTCCTCTCTACAATTCTTTCCATGATGTTTATAAATTTATCAACCTGCTCACTTCTGCACTTGACTCTGCAGAAGCAAAAAACTAGCGGCAACTTAAGCAAATAATATGGAAAGCTGCTGTGGTTATTTTATTACTATTACTCAAGGTTTAATTATTGAAAGTATTTAAAACATGATTACACATACTGGGAATGAATTGTATACTTTACAGAAAAATATGACAATTTTTCTGAGTCTATGGCCTTAAGAAATCCATATGGCTGTCCCATTTCTTGGTGTTTGGTGGATCAAAGTCTTTATTAGTGCAAGTATTATGCACACAGTCTTGGTTAGCTGTCATATTTCTTGGTCAATAAAATGCTTTTGTTGATTTAATTTATAATTTAACTGACAACTTCATCATAGATGGTGAAATTTTTGTTTCAATTTTAGAAATATTACTTTAGTTTTAATTTACCGAATAGTTTCTTACAGGCACTGTAGCTGAACTGTCTGTTGCATGTATGATTTTTGCAATGTTTCATCTAACGCCAATCTAAGGAACAGAAAATACATTTTCTATGGAAGAGGCTTTCAAATGTTTTGGTCACAATCTGCACCAAGAAATACATTTAATATTAGAGACTAGTATTTATTTAGTGGATATGCCTTATTTCATTGGCTGCAATACATTAACATCTGTGAAAGAAGAAATGTCTTTCAATTTTCATTCAACAGCTTCTTAAAATTCCATTTGCCATTCTTTCATGTTACCACTCCTGACATTACCATGATTCTCATAGTGAATAGATAGCATCTTAGATCTCATTCTAAAAATAGTATATATTACAAAACCAAAAGTTGCATAAATTATTTGCCTGTGTTCTCACATTTATTATTTTATTTTATCTCATTACAGCAAATGTTGGTTGAAGCTTGTTAAATTGATTTCTTCACCCACTCTTGGGTCCTAATCCATTTTCAATCCATTTTCGTGTTCCTTATTTAATGTTATCATAATATTTTGGTTTTTTTAATGGGAACTTCTCCTGATAAAAGACTTTAGCTGTTACTCTGTCTCTAAATAGTGAAACTCCAAGATACCTGAGGTTGAGGATTAGAATTAGGAGATGAGTGCCTCATCTCTCAACCCCTCCCCCAAATCTATGGACCTTTCTTATCCACTATGAAAAAAACCACATTTACACTCAGCCCTGTAAGACATCCCTAGCTTTCAGCTATTGATGCTGTCACAACTAGTCGTGAGTTGACAAAATATTTAACATTTGTACACATAAGCAGCAAGAAAGAGTGACTATGTAATCCTTACCTCTGATGAAATAAATTTGGATGAAATTAACTTAACCAATCACTTTGGATAGTAGAGGTAAATAAAAAGATGCAGAACTCCTACACCAACATCAGTGACTACTGATATTTATCAGGTACTTCCCACAAACCATGGATTGTGCTATTCTATTTGTATGTTATCTCACTTGACTGAATGGCTGCATAATTGCTTTAGAAAAGCTTCCCACCCCCACTTCTGACAAAACTCATCTTCATAAGTGGAAAAATACTCAAAACCTTAAAATCTGACTATACATGACTTCATACAGAAGAAATTATTCTTGAGCCTCACAGTGATAAACAAAAAATACATGGTTTCAGCTCTCAGGGAACAGGTAGCTTAGTGAGGAAACAGAGAGCAAATCTATACACACTCAAGTAAATATGTAATTACAGACTATAACTTTTTTGATGAAAGATAAAAAGTGAAACTATGAGAGAAATATCAGAGGGAAACTGATTAGATGCTTGAGTAAGGAAGGTGGATGAAGGTGCTCATAAGTTTAAATTCTAAAATACTTCATGCTAATCACATTAAAATTATATCAAATTACGTAGGCAAACTATTCAAAGCATAATCATCACTCTCATCACCCAGGTGAAGAAACAGCATTAGAAACTTGCTTCCTCTCACTTGCATTCCCCCCCTTCCCAAATCCAGAGATAATCACTTTTTGGGTTAATTATTCCTTTACTGTCTTCAAAGTTTTATGACTATATATGTACCCATGAACATTTATTAGCCAAATTTGCCTGTGTGTGAACTCTATATAAATGCAATCATACTGTATATCTTCTTCTGCTTCTTTTGCTCAACATCCTATGTTTTAGAGATTCATCCATTTGTTGCACATAACTTTTCATTCATTTTCACTGCTGCTCAGTATTCTATTGTATAATTGGAATTAGAAATTCATTCTACTACTAATGAAGATGTGAGTTGTTCTAAATATTTGTGACATTGCAACAGTGCTGCTATTAACATTTTTAGTGCATACATTCAAAAGTTTGTCCAGGACAGAAAACACTGAAAGTGCTGAGTGGTTGTACCAGTTTCCACGCCAACCAGTAACACATGAGAGTTCCCTTGTTCCTGATCCTTGCCAATAGTAGCTATCGATTACCTTTGTCATGTATGCATATTAAAATAGCCAAGGTGATTATTAAAATAACAGAGAATAAATGTATAACTTCCACACAAGCAGAAGGAGAAAAAAGAATGAGGATACATACACGCACACATGCACACACATACACATACACCAGTTTATGCTTCAGATACATCCTTAATTTGTGGATTAAGCCAAAATTAGAATTTTACCTGAATTTTACACTTGCTCAGCCTTTCCCTTTTCAATTTCTCCTTCACAATTTTTTTTATGATAATTCCTTCAGTAAAACATTTTTATTCAAATCCCTGACTCAGGTTCTATTCCTAGGGAACCTGATCTAAAACAGCATTTTCTTTATCTAGTCTTAATACTCAGAAGTATTTTATATTCTACATCTAATATATGATGAATTTACAGTTCTGTTTCTGTTGGTTTTCACATCTCATGCTTGTTTCCTTGTCTACATTGTAACTGATAACTTCAAAGTGCTCATTATCTTGACCCTTTTGGAATACTTTGAGAACTGGGTTAAAGTGAGGTTTTTGAAAGATATTCATGTTTGCTCCTTCTGCCCAGGTCACTTCTGACACAAGAAAACTTTAAATTCTTGTTTTCAAGATTTTCAAATTACATGAGCAGCATTGCAGTTGAATATATTAATCCATGTCATAACCAATTAATAGTTACAAATTTTCAGAAGATTCTAATTTTCCTTGCTGATCCTTTACATATTCTTTGGTTGTCTACATTCTGTGGGGCTCTCCTCTCAGCTTGTTTACCTCAGCCAGTCATAGACTTGTCCCATGTCCCATTTAGTTATCGACACTGAAGCTCAGTGGCTCTAGGACATGGCAGAAACCCTTAGGATCAAAGTCATGTTTTAATTCTAAGTTTATTTTGATCTTTCCTTACTTCCTATGTTCCTACTTTTATTTCATTTTGGGGTTCTGAGAATTTCTAACCTTCTTTGTTGTTTTCTTTCCTTCTTTCCTTCCTTCCTTCCTTCCTTCCTTCCTTCCTTCCTTCCTTCCTTCCTTCTTTTTTTCTGGCATCTAATCCCTCCTCAACATACAAAACTGTCAAGTAATGGTTTATGACTGAAAATAAAAAAAACATTATATACATCCTGTTTTCTTAAACAGAATATGTGAAAAATGAGTTGTGTTCTATGCACATTTATATAAATATCAATTCTTTTACAGTGATGCCCTTGGGTGCTATTGTAATACATAGGTTTGTTTATGTATCACAAAATTATACTTATTATACAAAACTCACTGGAGAAAGGCTGGATGTGAAGTCAAAAACTTATGTACAAGTTAAAAAATAAACTTTTTCTACAACTATTTTCTACTCAGTAACTTTCTACTTTTAAGTTCAAAACTATATGGGTTTACATTCAAATTTTGTTACATCTTTGTTTCATAAACTGAAGTTCCTAGAGCACTGATTTTTAAGTAAATGGATTTTTGCATAATCTTAAGAAAGAAGCTTGCAAACACCCTGACAGCATCACATCATTAAAAAACACATGTTAATCACTGGGATTAGGGCACCCTGTTACTGAAATGACAGGATTGATGCTTGTGTGGGCCATTAGTATCTGCATGACGTGTTTGAGAAAGGTACAGGGTATGTTCCCTGTCCTCTAGTAAAATTATTTTTAATCTCAACAAAATAATAAAGAGGATTACTATAAACCAATGGGTTTCTATTTTTCTGATGTGGTTTTGGCTTATTGAAATTATTATTTTTATTAATGCTCTGATTTTTCAATTTGTTACGTTTTAATGTGGCTCTTGAGTCCTTCTGACATTACGTCAGATGTTTTTTGACAGCTACGTTGCTTTTGATCTGACAAGATGTAGGCTTATCTTGCACAGTTCTCACCTCAAACTTGATTTCATTTATTTCTTTAAAAATATTCAGTTCCTTTTGGAGAAAAATGGTAGTTAGAAACTCTAGTCTTAACAGTAAGGGTGATCACTGTAATTGGGTTGATCATTATTTCCAGGATTTTCATTTAAAAGAGTTAGGAAATACCTACTTTTAAGATAAATTATATCTTTCTTTCATATTCATATTTTCAGTTTAATTTAGGATAACAGAGTTTTATTTAATTTAATCTATTTTATATTTTTATCTCATGCTGAAAATACTGGTTCTAATAATATTGATTACTGTTTTTATTATATATAATATATACTATCAAATATGCATACATTATATATATATATAGTTTTAGAATTAGTAATACCAAAGCTATTATAAACAATATGACTAAACAGTTTAAGATTTTTTGAAAACTTCTTTTTGTCCTTAGAATACATCTCACTAGGAATAGTAAGTCAGATCACTGTGTTTTAAAGGCATTTGTGTCAAATCTTCTCTGTATGGTTAAACCACCAATTGTATATGAAGTTAAATTCAGTACTTTGGGATTATCTTTTCAATCTTTATAAATTTCCTTTTAAATTTAAAACTATTTCAGAATTGTATAAAATTCTTGGATAATTTCAACTTCAAATATGCAAGCAAGGAATATTCAGAAAAGTCTAGATTCTGCCCCTATTCCCTTCACTCTATTTACTCCCATTATCTATATTTTTTTCATGTTTTGGTTTATCTTTTATATTACTTTACATATATATGTAATACAAGTAATACATATTTTATACATAAAATATATGTAAATATATGTGTATATTTCTCTCTGTTCATATATATAATAAATATAGTAGCATGTTACAAATGCTTTCTTCAAAAACATGTTACAAATACTTTCTTGAAAAAACATTCCTTTATAGAAAATTATAGTTCATACTTAAGGAAAATAGAATTAGAAAATAATTCATTTCAGTTCTTAGAATAATTGATTCAGGCAAAGATCAAAAATTAAAGTTGATGAGAAGGTATATAATGGGGGCATCAGACTGTTAACCACCTAAGCTCACTGATCATCACTAGAACCACTAAAACCAGAGCAATCTGTAACTGTGTGCCCAATGTGATGCAATCTGAAGTAGACAGCACCACTTAGCCTACAGACTAAGGAAGTAATAAACCTGAATGCAATCAAACTTTTAGGGCTATTCTCCAGTTTATAGCATAAGGAATGGAAGAACAAGCTAAATGACCCCACAAAAAAGCAATTATGGGGCATTCTACATGGCAGCTGACTGGGTTTCCTCAATAAGACAATAGCATGAATAAAATAGGAAACAGGTGAAGGAGAAGGCACTATTCTGGATTATGAGACTGAAGAGACAAAGCAAGCAGATGCAATGTGTGAACTTAGTTTGGATCTTGATTCAAAGACCAAATATAAAAATATTTTGCCAAGAGAACTGAGGACATTTGAATGAGAAAAGAATTTGTATTCAATTTGTTAGCTGTGATAACTATTGCAGATGTAAGAAGATATTAATATATCCAGGTATATATATCAAGCAATAGGAATAGTATGACATGAAGTCTGGAATTTACTTTAAAATTCCTCTGCCCTCATCCCCAACCAAAAAAAAAAAAAGAGAAAGAAAGAAAGAAAGAAAGAAAGAAAGAAAGAAAGAAAGAAAGAAAGAAAGATGACAAGTTATCACAAAATTAGTGGCTTTAAAGAACACACATTCATCACTTTACAGTTCTGTAGGTTAGAACTTCAGCATGGGTCTCATCAGACCAAACTTAAGGTTTTGGCAGGCTTATATTCCTTTGTGAAAGTTCTAGGGGAAAATCCATTTCCTTGCCTTTTCCAGCTTCTAGAGCCCCATTTCTTGGCTCTGGTTCCCTTCCTCTGTCTTCAAAGCCAGCAACGTTGCATCTCTCTGATGGTTCTTTCATAATCACAGCTCCCTCCAACTCTACTCTTCTGATTCTCTCATCCACTTTTATTGGCCTTTGTGAAGACAGTGGTCTCGACTGGATAATCCAGGATCACTTCCCTATTTTTAGGCCAAGAGATTAGTGACCTTAATTCCATCTGCAATTATAATTCTACTCTGCCATATAATGTAAAATATACACATGTTCTGGGGATTAGGACATGAACATCTTTGGGAGTCATTACTCTATCTATCGTAAGAAGAAATGATGGATGGATGAAAGGAAGGAAGGTTCAAGGAAAGGAAGGAAGGAAACAAGGAAAGAAGAAAATGTGTGACAAAATCTTGATAATTTTAAAACTAGATGATGATATTTGGAATTCTCTATATTTATTAATGTTTGAAAATTAAGAAAAAGCAATAAATGATGGTGACTTAGATGAAAATCTAGGACATTTGCCTCAAAATTCATGATTTTCATAAATCATGAATATAATCTGTCACACCACATATTCTTTGATGAGAACAATCTCTTCTGCCTCCACACATCAAAAAATTGTTTCTGTAAGTTCCTTACAATGGATTTTGAGAGGAAAATTACAACCTATGCTGTATCTCCACATACATTTTTTTCTACCTACCTTAATGTCCTAAATCAAATGAGAATAATATTATAAAGCACAACTTCTCATGAAAAATAAAGAAGCTAACAAACATTGGATTCCTGGGCCTCAGTTGCAATTTCAATCGCATATACTCATAATATTATTTTAGGTGAAAAGAACTGCATTTGTGTGCCAATGTTTACTAAACAGAGGTCTTAATTTACTCTTTCCCAGTGTGTGGGAGCTTCATTTCATGCATCTCTCCTTGTACTCTATTGTGTTAAAACAGCAAGCTTGTCAAGAATGGAGACATTGCAGTGATATATGCAGAGTCTATGGGAGACATTTTCTCTATGGGTTAAAGTAAGTAGTTGGATCAAAGTCAGGACATAGATGCTACAGCTGGTCTGGGAAAAAAATGGCAATTAAGCGGAAAAAAAAGAACAGAAAGAGAAAATCACAGACAGTCTCTTTTTAGGCGGCAACAACAGAACCAGACTGTTTGAAGCTGGTAACTGACTCCAAATGTCACATTTTTCACTGAATTCTAAATAATATTGCTATTTTATAACTGTTATTTGGTTGTATTGATGGCCATATTAACTTATTTCATAACAAACTTGTTACATATATTTTTATGTACTATATTTGTTATATTTCTGTTTCTTATGTATCTTTGTTTCAACAATACTTAGGAGGATTGAAGAAAAATATATTAAAGCTCAGATAACATTTCCTTTGAATAGCTTTCAATCCAGCCAAAGCTGACACATTTATTGTGTTCAGTTCATGCACTTCTATGCAGTTCAATATTCAGGACCTGTGTGATTCCCTATCCAACAGAAAATTTCATCTCTTCAAAGATTTCAATGTGTATTTGTGTCAGAGAAAGTAAAAATAAAATAAGACAAAAAGAAAACTAAATGTTTTAATGTTCTCTGGGAAATTTGGGTAAAATACAGTAATTTCAGGGGAGCAAATTTTGTGCATACTAATCTATACTTCTAGGTAATATTAGTCATCTATCTCACAAAAATGGTAACTAAATAAAAGTGTCATAAACATAGAAACACTTCCAAAATGATAAGGGTCAAGAGTGCATGGAAGATACAATACACTTTTAAACCTGGAAAGTAAACTAACTTAGCAGGATGAAGTAAACTGAAATATAATTGCCAATGTGAGAAGGGAGGCTATCAAAGAGATTCATCTAATTCAGGTCAAAAAATCATTGAAATGTTTAGGAATTGGAGGTACCAGTTATTTCTGAAAGCCAGGATGCACAGTGGGATGGAAAATAGATGGCTGAAAGTCCATATAATTAGCAGTTGGACCACAAATCCCTTCCTTAGCCTGTGCAACTGGTATATTGCACCATCTCCACACCCACAAAGCCAAGAGTTCACTTTCTAGAGAGGATGAATTGTGTAGTTCTATGAGGACAGCTGAGGGGGTGGATGAGCCATTTGACTACACATTGAATGATTTAGCAGAACTTTGCATTTTAAATGGTGAAAGCCCTAACTCCCTTCCTCCTCTTGTGTCTCAAGAAATTTTGCATACATCCAGGGTCAGGTCCACCTC